GACTTGTAGCCAAAGGCTATACTCAAAGGTTGGTGAAGATTACTTTGATACATATTCACTAGTAACAAAAATAGCAACCATTCATGTTTTGTTTGTGTTAGTCTCAATGCACAGGTTGCTAGTTCACCAGATGGACGTAAAAACTGTGTTCCTTAATGGTGGCTTGGAAGAAGAAATCTACATGGAGCAGCCTCCTGGGTGTGCCGAACCTGGTCAAAAAGGAAAGGTATGTAGACTCAAAAAATCTTTATATGGTCTAAAGCAAGCCCCTAAACAATGGTATGAAAAGTTCCACAATACTTTATTAGACTTAGGTTACTTTGCTAACTGGTCAGATGCTTGCTTATATACGAAAGTGATTGAGTCTACAGTTGTGATTATATGTTTCTATGTAGATGATATGTTGATATTTAGTTCAAATGTTGACACAATCATTGAAACTAAAAGGATCTTGAGTACCAAATTTGATATGAAGGATCTAGGGGAAGCCGACGTGATTCTTGGGGTAAAAGTTACAAAAACTACTAAATGTTATCATTTGGCTCAAAGCCATTACACTGAAAAACTATTAAAGAAGTTCAATAGTTTTGATGTGAACCCGGCTAAAACCCCTTACGATCCAAGTATCAAATTGTTTAAAAATAAGGAGGATGGTATAGCTCAAGGAGAATATGCCAAAAGTATTGGAAGTTTAATGTTCCTAATGAATTATACTAGGCCTGATATTGCCTTTGCAGTAAATAGACTCAGTCGCCATACTCACAACCCAGGTAAAGCTCATTGGGATGCACTCAATAGGGTACTGCGATACCTCAGAGGCTCTCTGGACTGGGGTCTTGACTATGTAGGATTCCCAGCAGTGATGGAAGGGTTCTGTGATGCGAACTGGGTAAACGAAGGTGACGATGCTAGCTCCACTAGCGGATATGTGTTCACTATGTGCGGAGCAGCAGTGTCGTGGAAATCAACTAAACAGTCGTGCATAACCAGATCAACTATGGAAGCTGAGTTCATAGCTCTTGATCTAGCAAGCCAAGAAGCAGAATGACTAAGGAATTTGTTGGCGGACATACCATTGTGGGGGTGTCCCACACCTTCAGTTTCGTTGCATTGTGATTCGCAAACGGCCATCTGTGTGGCGAAAAATAGTGCCTATAATGGAAAAAGAAGGCACATAAGAGTCAGACATGAGTCTGTACGATAGTTAATTATGACCGGAGTAATTACGATGGAATATGTGAAGTCTGAGAGGAGTATTGCAGATCCTCTCACAAATAGGCTAAACCGAAAAGCCATTCTTGAGACGTCAAAGAAAATGGGCTTGAATTCGGTGAGGTGAGGAATTCATGACGAGGTCGTGGAAAGACTCACATAAATGAAATGATGTTAGTCCTGTTAATTCTGTAGCTCTAAAAGAGTGGTCTATGTTGAGGTAGACTTGACAGAATAAGGCTCGGTGGTCAAGGCTTTGACCCACGTGTGTTAAAAATAAATAAAAAAAAAGTTGGTCTATGCAATTGAGTTTAAAATTTGTCCAAACGAAGAGTTCAAGACTTGTTTCACTCTCGGGAGGAAAATTACTCAGTGTCACTACGTTCAGTTCAAGATTTCACTGACATTAAGACCGATTTTGTGCTGCTCAGACTTAATTATTTCCAGCCTTTTCTATAAATGTGTGGGGGATTGTTGGAAAAAAAAAACATTAATAGAAAAGAGCTTCCTTTTAAAATGATGTTGCAGACGCAAACGTGCGTAGGTGAGGCGATATTTTATTTTTCAGCCTTTAATTTTCCCCTTCCTAATTTTGTGGTATTAGACCACTTCTTGTCCGCAGAACATTTATTCAGCATGCAAATGTGCCTGGTCCTTTTTCTCCGCCTCTTGCGCATTAACATAGTAGTGTAGGGATTTGTTAGCCATTAACATTATTAAAGCCTTCCTCTGGACAGCAAAGAAGATCCAAGCATAAAAAAACTTTCTTCCTAATATAATACTCTCACGTCTGAGCTATAATACTGTTTGCCAAAGTGCAAATAGAGTGTGCCTGTGCTACCGGTCGAAAGCACCTGTGGTAAGTCGGGAATAACTTTTAAGGCAGTGTTCATTCGAACACGAAACAGTGCTAAGTTCCTATACCGTTTGTCTCACCAAATTATTTCCAGCCGTGTTAACCACCACAGCCCGGCGTTATCAATCCCAAGTTCACAAACATTGTTTATATCCAAAAACCAACAAACACATGCACCTTAAGTTTTAAAAAAAAAAACTCACATTAAGTACACACTCACGCACATTAAGTACAAAACTCACGCACTTTAAGCACACAACTCACGCACATTAAGGACAAAACTCACGCACATTAAGCATAAAACTCATGCACTTTAAAGTTTCAACAACAACTCACATTTTTTTTTTAATAAAAGGGGAGGGGGTGACCCCGCTACTGTCTACTTCCTCGTAGGCACGTAGCTCGCATGCATTCTCGAGTAACGATCTCTTCAACTCCAGGAGGGCAGAGCGCAAGGTCCCTCCAGCTTTCACCCAAGTTAGCTCCGATGGTAGCCATAGCATCTGCACTCCGATTCTGTTCACGGTATATGCTGCTAATCGAAACCTTCCAATTTTCTCTTAGCCATCTTCTTATTTCATCAATGTAATCACTAATCGGTCCCCTCAGCTGTGAATCGTCATTTATCCACGTGACAACCTGCTTTGCGTTTGTTTGTACCTCAACATCCTTGATTCCGATCGCCATGCCCAGGCAAGGCCCTTAGAGATGGCCTCAGCTTCGATAATGGAAGAATTATCATGGATGGATTTGCCATAGAAACCACCTCTCCACCTGCCATCTGCCTTTCGGGTGATGCCCCCGAAGCCTGCGTTATGAGTTGAGAATTTAACGCTAGCATCAACATTCAAGGTCCAGGTGTGGTTGGTTTACGGTTTCCAGTAAGGGTCCCTAGCCTCTTTTTGTTCTTTAGGTTTCTCATAGCATACTTCCTCTCAAAGGCTCTGTGTATGTCCTTCTCTGTTTCAATGAGCCAAACAATCTTCATTTCAATGGTGGTCAGCTCGCCCTGGAAGATGTAGTTTTTCCTCCATCTCCAGATCCACCACACCACTGCTGCAAATAGAGACGACTTATTGATACCTTCAGTTATGCTAGGACGAGTATTCCTAGTAATCCAATCCTTCAGGTCAGCACTCTGGAGATTCCAGTCACCGACGACGTGTTTCAACCCATTCCAAACTTCTCTTGCCTTTCGACACTCCATGAAAATGTGGAATGTGGTTTCATCAAGTCCTGGGCAGTGGGGGCAATCACCCATCGAGGTGAAACCCCTCCTCTTTCTCTCGGCATTGCCCATGATCTTCTCGTGAAGAATGATCCAAAGCAGCATCTTCATCTTTGTAGGAACTCTGAGTCTCCATACTTGGTTCCAGACAGGGTCCTGCACATCCAAAGGCATATCCATGAATCATGTCATAAGCTGATCGGATAGAAAACTTACCAGAGGGTTCCTCCGTCCATAGGACGTCGTCGCTTCCTTCTTGCAGATCCATAAGTGCGATGATATTCCGTAAGTCCATGGGAGGTTAGCAAGCTTCTCCCATTTCCAGCCCTGTGTATCGTGCCAACAGTCTGACACCCAGTGCAGATTTCCATTTGGGTCGTTGAGGTTGATGAGTTCACAAAGGGGTTTCTCTGTAATCCATGCATCTTCCCATAATCTCACATCCTTGCCGCCTTTAACAATATGGCAGAAGCCTCTTTGGACGAGCGATATGGCTTTAGCTATGCCCCTCCAAACATTAGACGCTCCTTGTTTGTGCTTAAACATTTTCATGTCGTGTCTATCATGGGCATATTTCCCTTTAAGAACTTTTCCCCAAAGACTTTGGTTGTCGTTGAGCAATCTCCATCCTAGCTTTGCCATAAAGGCTAGGTTCACATCTTTAGAGGCTATAAGGCCAAGACCACCCATATTCTTGAGTTTGATGACATTCTCCCATTTTACCAGGTGACACTTGCGTTTTTCCTGTGAGCCACCCCAGATAAACCGTCTTATTCTTTTATCAATCGCCTCGCAAATGCCCGTAGGGAGGAGAGTCGATTACATGCAATAATACGAGATCGTTTGTAGAACTGACTGGGCTAGGATGTGCCTCCCAGCTAAAGTAAGGTTCTTAGTCTTCCAACCATCAAGTATATTATCAATTTTGTCCAGGATGGGGGCAAACAGATTATTGGTGATCATACCATGGATAGACGGTACACCAAGATATTTTCCAAGATTTGATGTGACCGGGATCCCAGCAATCTCTATGATCTTCTCCTTCACTTGGGTATCCACATTGTTTGAGAAAAAGATGTGCGATTTGCTAAGACTGACCCTTTGACCCGATACCTTGCTGAAGCGCTCAAGGCAGTCTTTGATAATCTGAATTTGGTCCTGCGAGGCCTTTGCAAAAAGCACCAGATCGTCAGCAAAGAAAAGGTGAGAGAGAGTGGGGCCATACTTGTTTGTCCTTACTCCTTTCCATTTCCCCCTGTGGACTTGATCCTTGATGGCATGACTTAGTCGTTCCATGCATAACACAAAGAGGTAAGGAGAGATGGAATCTCCTTATCGTATACCCCTGCTCGGTTTAATCCAGTCCAGTTGTCTGCCATTCCAAATGAATCCCAATCTAGTAGTCTCGACACAATTCATAATGTTACAGGTCCAGATGTCATTCATACCCACCCTGTGGAGGGTGTCACGAATGAAACCCCAATCAAGTCTATCATAAGCTTTTTCGTGGTCAATTTTAAGGATCATGCTTCTCTTTGTGCCTTTCTTTGCTCTCATGGAATGGAGTGCTTCTTGGTAAACAATTATATTATCAATGATTTGTCTGCCTGGTACGAAGATGCTTTGTTCCATACCAATGACTTCATTAAGCACAGGTTTTAGACGGTTGGTCATAGCCTTCGTAATAATTTTGTAAATAACATTTCAAAGGCTAATGGGCTGAAATTGACTAGTATTTGTAGGGCACTCATTCTTGGGTACTAACGCAATAAGGGTATCATGCATACCCTCATCCAAAATGCCGTTGTCATAGAAGTTCTTTGCCTGAGTAAAAATCGAGTTCCCTACTATTTCCCACGTCTTCTGGTATAAACAAGCGTGGAAACCATCGGGCCCCGGGGCTTTCAAAGGCTTCATATCAAAGAGAGCATTTTTGACTTCCTCCATGGTAAAATCTTTGTTAAGGGTGCTCCAAAGCTGGTTAGAGATACTAGGGAAATTCCCTCCATCGGGATTAGGAGTATTAAACTCAAAATCCCTTGTAAAGAGCCCTTCAAAAAACCTCTTGACAATTTGTTCCTCTGCCATGTCGTTCTGAATAGGGATCCCATTGTCATCTTTCAGCCGATACTTCTTGTTCTTCGCTCTTTTGACCATTGTTGCAGGGTGATAGAACCCAGTGTTTCGATCCCCAGATGTGATCCAGTCCTCTCTAGCCTGTTGGAACCAGAAGATCTCCTCCTGGTGTAGCACCCCTTCAAGTTCTTTCCTGATTTTCCTCTCCAGTTTAAGAAGACCCGTGTTGTGTATGTTGTCAAGTTTTCTCTGTATGCCTTCAAGCCGCTTTTCTAAATTTCTCTTACGGTCATGAATGTTGCCAAAGATGTTTTTGTTCCAATCTCTAAGAGTGTTTGCCATAGTTTCTGCGTTGCTCCAAACATCAGCTGTCACGTTCCAAGTGTTTTTTTACTACATCCATGAAACCAGTGTGACTCGTCCACGCCCCCTGGAACCGAAAAGAAACCGGCCCCTGCTGTTGAGAGCTTTCTGGAAGCAGATTTTCACAGGGCAATGGTCCGACCCGTTAGCTGCAAGATGAGTAACATTGGTGTTTCCAAACATTTCCAGCCAATCCAAAGAACACAAGGCTCGATCCAACCTGGCACCCCTGAAGGTCGATTGATCCAAACCTCTTTTCCAAGTGTATTTCTGGCTAGTAAAACCAAGATCCACAAGTCCATGAAAAATCCAGTTGCGGAAGTCATCATTACGGTGCGCACCTCTCCCAGTTTGGTTGGAAGTTTCATCAGTATTGATGACAGCATTAAAATCTCCTGCAAAAAGCCAAGGGCCATGCATGGTGACTTTCGTCTGACTGAGATCGCTCCATAGCCTTCGCCTAAGATGCATGGTTGGGCTGCCATAGATAACTGTAAAGGTCCAAACATGGTTGTCCCGATCGGTAACCGCCATATGAATGAACTGGGGATGGGAGCTAATGACATCAATGTACAGTTCATTATGCCAAATAACCCAGATTCCTCCGCTGTAACCAAGAGCCTCCACTCTTACCCAATGTTTGAAACCGAGATTGGTACAGATGCTATCCGTGTTGACACCCGAGGTTCTCGTCTTCATGAGGCAAAGAATATCGGGTTTGTTGTTTTTTATCAACCATTTGGCGGCTCTCGTGGACTCTTTCGAGGCCGCACCCTGATAGTTCCAAGTAATAATAATCATAAAACAAGAAACAAAAAAGGAGAAACACAAGCACAACGAGAGAGCAAAAAACACAAAGAGGGAAACGAGAACACAAAACCAGGGGTGGAGCAGCTTAGAGCTCCACCACCATCTCTCCCTCGTCCGACGGCCCAAGGCTATCCTCAAACTCATCGTCATCAAGGTCTTCATTCCCTCCATCAGGCTGTAGGCCGTCCGACAGATCACCCGTATGCTCTGCCACCTCAGTTTCGGGCAAGAAGATATTCATGTCACCCTCATTCGTGGCCAAAACTGATGATTTCAGAGCTTTTGTTACCCTTTTGATCCCCTCTCACTAAGGTATGTTCATTTGCCGCAGTTGCCTACTGAATGTGCTTCCCTTTCTTTTGCTAGAAACTTGGTTTTTTTGTCGAAGTGCTAGCACCTTGGTTCTGTTTCTTGTGAAGCCCACGAATGTTATTGCCCTGGACTTGCCTTTCGGATACTTGAACTGTCAGTCTTTTTCCTTTATCAAGCCCATTATTATTGGATCGTCTTCCAGCTTTATGCTTAGGCCCATTCGTCTCAGTTGTATTCTCCTCAGTTATCTCTTCGCAATCCTCAGTGTGGTCACTGGCTAGAGCTCCAAATCTGGATCCCTGATTTTCTTCCCGTTTGTCTGTTTTGCTTCTTTTCTCATCATTCCCGTTATTTCCATTCTTGTTCATCTTATAATCCCGCTTGTTATGGCCATTATAGCGTTTCCTTTCTGGTTTCTGAACAACCATCGATGACCCATAATCCTGCAAGATTTCCGGGCAAATTAAAGGCCTTTCCTTTGTGGTTGAACTGTTTCCATTTCTATTCTCATTCTGTCAGTTGGTCTCACCGGTCGTCGGTTGCGGTGGAGTTTCTCCGGTGCGATCCGTCTCGTGGTTCTCCATTTTTGGAGGTGGTGCATTTTTTGGGCAGTTCTCACCATTATGCCCATACATATCACAACGAAAGCAAATTAAATGTAACCCCTCATAAGTCACCTTCCAGACTCTTCTTCCCGTATTGAATTTTGATAGCAGAGGTTTGGTGATGTCTACTTCAACGCATACCCTAGCAAACATTGCTCTAAATACTTCGCTTGTTGCCGTGTCAACCGTGATACACGAAAGACGGATCTAGACAAGCACTGATTGAGTTGTGTCCGTCAGGGGGTTGAAGTTTGGTCGCCACTCCTGTACGATCAAGTAGTGATCAAGTATCATCCAAGGCCCTCCAAACTTCACAAAGTTATAATCTTCCTCCGCACCAAACCTAACCAGATATTATTCATTTTCAATAGTGACCAGATCCATTCTCGATTTAGGGTGCCACATAGCTGTTAGCCTCCTCTGTAGGTATGTGTACCCAACACTACGACCAAACACTTTGATGATCAGAGTCTGCTTCCACTTGCTTCTCATCCGATGTTCATCCTCCTTCGTCAGCCGTATCTTGGGGCAGATAGGGTCAGGCCCGGCCCTGAGCAAGGGCGGGCTGGGTCCTTGCCCAGGGCCCATGCTTAGAGGGGGCCCACTTGACACCTAGCCCTTTTATATATAGTATATATGATTAAGAAAATAATATAAAGTTGTTTTACATAAAGGTGAGGTTGTTTGGTTGGTAAATGCCTAAATTACAACCTAACAGGCTATGGGTTGGTTCCTTATGACTCTATCATATTTAGTCAACAAAAGACTAGATAATGTTGAAAGTCGAACAATAAATGACTTTAATTTTTCATGCTTTATATTTAAATTATTTTGAGTTAATTTCATTTTTGGTCCTAGATTTATAAGTGAAAGTTCACTTTTAGTTTTTTTTTTCTTTTTTTTTTTTTGTCAAAACATTTTTTTTGGACCAAGTATTATTATGACATGATCAATTTTGGCCATCTATCAAAAAAATCATTGAAATTTCGTTAAATATAAGGGCATTTCGCTCTTCAATTATGATTTTTTTTTTCAAAAAATAAACATATAAAATATAACAGCTCAACACACTTTGTATTAAAAAGATCAAAATGTCCTCCAATTTAATGAAATTTTAACAACTTTGTTGATAGGGGACCATAATTGGTCATGTCATAATAATACTAGGACCAAAATAGGATGTTTTGACAAAAAAAAACTAAAAATGGACTGTCACCTATAAATCTAGGACCAAAAATGGAATTAACTAATATTTTATTCAAACAATCATAACTATTCTAAAATCATATGTTGTTTATTCAAAAATTTTTAGTCAACAAAATCCCCTTGATTTGTGAGACTAGATAACAGAATGTTTTTTTCAGAATGTTGAAAAGTAAAAGACTTTTTTTATGAATATTTAGTTAATGAAAAAAGTATTTATAAAAAAACGTATAAATAAATAAGATTTGTGATTTATAATATGATTTCTATTTAAATTATTTTATCCAAATAATCTTAATTTAACTATTTTAAAATCATATACTTTTTTATCAGATTTTTAGCTTTGCATATGTTTGCAAGTGTTGTTTTAGAAATTTTTATTAATAATTAATTTATTATTTATTATGATAACAATGTTATTGTTTACGAACTTATTTTTTTTAGTACTATTGACTATATTATAAGATAGTATATGTTATTGTTTATAAGCTTATTTGATTTTAAATTGTTTATTCATTTTTATAAATTATTTCTTTGTGAAAGTACTTAAATTTTTTCATAAGTATTATTTTGTATGTAAAATTGTTAAAAACTTGTTAATCTTATTTGAAGTTATTTGATATTAATTTTTTTTTTCCTTTATGTAATTTAAATTTTAGGTATGAAATATATTATTAACATCAGTAGGGCTCATTTCTTTTGTCATGCCTCGGGCCTATAAAATAATAGGACCGGGCATGGATAGGGTCATCAAACCCTTCCTCTTCATCAGCTTCATCATCGGAGATTAGGTCCAAATCATCCACAGATGGTGATTGTTCAATTGTCTCGTTGGCAGCAACCGCCTTGTATGAGGGAGCCCCAATGGGCTTCTCTTTTCCCATGGGTTGGGGAGGTTGTGGTCCTTCCCCGTCATCAACCACCATGTCATCCCTCCGGACGTTGTCCTCTAACATGTTGTTGCCCGTCTTAGACTTCTTTGTGCTTCTTTCCAGGAGGTCCTGATCTTCCGACGACCTTGCCGTTGATGGCTTGGCCGAGGGAGTACCCGAGAGAGTTTTCTCAGCATTCATTCTTTCAATTTTCAGTGTTGTTGTTGGTAACTCAACAACAACTCACATTAAGTACACACTCACGCACATTAAGTACAAAACTCACGCACCTTAGGCACAATACTCACACACCTTAAGTACAAAACTCACGCACATTAACATTACATACTCACACACATTAAGTACAAATCTCAGGCACATTAAGCACAAGACTTACGCATATTAAGTACAAAACTCACGCACATTAATTAACCGCACAACCGCACGGGAAGCACTCAACCGCACTGGAACCTTTCAATATATATATATATATATATATATATATATATATATATATATATATATATATATATATATATATATATATATATATGAGTTAATTTCATTTTTGGTCCTAGATTTATAGATGACAGTCCAATCCACTTTTAGTCATTTTTTTATCAGAATATCTCATTTTGGTCTTAGTATTATTATGACATGATCAATTTTGGTCCTTCTTCAACAAAATCGTTGAAATGTCGTTAAATACAAATACATTTCGATCTTTTTAATAAATTAGCTCAAGCTTGCCAAACACCTTGTACTCACATGGCACCTCTTGAAGAAATGTTACGGGATCAAACCCCGATAGTGGGGTATTAACTCTTTGAATTACAATAATTAAAAAAATTATAAGATATATACTACCTTCTAATAGAATCAATACTATTAAAAAATAAATTAGCTCAAACTTGGTATATAGCTACAAAATAGATGTTCCATTTCCCACCAAAAAGGATAAAATTAAACAGTATAAATAAATAGGCTGTGGCTAAAGCTAGCTACTCAGAATTTTAATTTAGCTGAATATCTGTCTTAATAGTAATGCCAGCCTTCCAATATTTAGGAATGGCTGCCTTGTCTGATTCCACCCATTTTTGCCCATCGCTACCGTTCACCGACAGCCTTATTTTAAGTTCTCCCAGCGGTGGATTTTGAAAGTCGAACACTGCACCATACACTCTGCGCATCGCTGTCCATGTATCGCTTGCTTTCTACAACAATTTTACAGTTAATTACTTGAAGAGGAAAATTTTAGAAGTACAAAAATAATTTTTTTTTTTCTATAAGAATAATTTGACATTATTTCAGTGTTTTTAATTCTTCAGTCCAGGCCGAACTGGGCTGAAACTGAAGCAGTATGGACAAATGTGGGATTAAATTCTTCAGTTACAGATTTAATTTTTTAATTAACTCCAATTTCAATTCTGCTATTAAGGACCTACATCCCTATATAAGAAGGGGTAGAGTGCAGCAGATTTTCTAAGCACATAGTGACAAGAACGCACAACACAGGAAGTGTTTTCTCTCCTCAAAAACTCTGCTTCTACTCCTTTTTTTGCCTAGCTGTGTTCAAGCCTTTGCTCTAGTTCGCCGGGTTCGCTCGTTTGGGTGCTCAAACGTCGAACCGTAGCGCGTTTTATTCTGGAAAACCTAGGCCACGACGCTGGGAGGTGGCAAATAAGGTTTTAAGGAAAGAGTGGTCTCTTGACTCACGCTAAAAACTCTATACCCATACACGAGCCATCTTTTCCTTCTTTCGGTTTTGGATTATGCTTCTAACCAAAAATCCTCCTTTTCTTATATAGTTTGGTTGGAATTATAATCTGTGAATTATAAATTCCATTTGGTTGATATGTATATATCTTTTCGTAGATATTCATGCATATAACCATGGTGGTCTGATTTATATATATATTTGTGTGTATATATATATTTCGGATATATATATCAAATAATATTTTATATACTTTCGTGTGTGTATATATAAATATTATTTTACGATATTAAATCGATTTTTGGTTCATTATCATCAACAACAATACCCCAGTCTCCGGGTACTAGACTTGACATTTACCTTTACCTTTACCCAACACGTTTTTCTATATAAGAGAAAGGTTTTCAAACTCTCGACATCTCTTAAGATATGAGAGTACAGTCGACCACTACCGCTAACCAAACTATTTTTTCCTCCTATAATACATTAGTACCTCTTAATTTAATTTAACATAACGTTAACAAAGAGAAAGGGATTGATTATTAACCTCGTAAACCTCAAGTGAGAGGATGTCATTGGCGCCGCCTTGCTTCAATGGTAGAATGGCCAAGTACCATGGGTAGTTGCTATGCTCAACAATTTTAATGACAAGATTAGTGGGTTGATGGCAAGAGATTCTCCGGTATTCTACATCCACCACCCCTAGCGAATATAGAAGGCTTGTCATCCTCGGCACCGCCATTTTTCCATAGGCACGGTAGCTCAATATGAAATCTGTTCCTGGCCCTTCTCCGCTGTCTGTGGCCATCACTTTTACTCCCCCATCTCTGCACAACCCTTCTTCCTTGCACTTCACCTGTATAAATAGTAAACGTGCATTCCAGTTATCAATTTAGACGTTTTAATTTGGTATCCATGCCCAAATAAATAGTAAACGTGCATTCCAGTTAACTCTAGGTAAAAAGTGTTGAACATATAATTATTAATGTGCAATCCAACTATTAATTTAGGCTTTTAATTGAGATGGAGCACATGCTTCAATTTGGTATAATTAAAAGGTCATTAGTTGAGCCCATCAAGAAGCAACTAATAGATTGATAACCATAAATATAAGGGTCACACGTGTGTGAGTAAGACGGGTCGGATCGAGTCAGATCAACATGCAAATGTCATATTTATATGTTCAAGTGTAAACTAATCAGGAATAAGTTGCTTGTTACTTATAAGTGAAAATTATAATATTTTTGAGAAAAAATGTAATAATTTTTATATTTTGATGTAAAAGTATTATATTTTCCATCAAAAGTATTACATTTTTCCTAATAAGTAATTTTAACAAGTGTTTGTTACTTACAAGGAAAAGTATAATAATTGTGAGAAAAAATGTAATACTTTTAAATCAAAATGTAAAAGTTCTACATTTTCCCTTAAAAGTATTACAATTACCCATATAAGTAATAAATACTTTATTCTTAATTATTATTACATTTATGCGTATGAGTATTACATTTTTATCTTAATTTGACCCGTCTCAAGGAGAGACGATCTTACACAAGTTTCGTATTTTATAGATATCACCACTTTTTAGTATTTGTTAGTGATATAAGCACTACTGGAAATTATGAAATTTTTGACTACCTGAAAGTGATCTTAAATTAAGTCGAAAGCCTTGTTCCGACCACTTTTGGTATCCGGAAAAACCTTTGTTACTATTTTCGATCACTTTTTGGTATCAATTTGATTCAAGATCATTTTCAGGTGGTCGAAAATTTCATAATTTCCAGTAGTGAGATGTGACATTTTTTTTTTTTTTTTTGTCATTCCCCTTAACGATTCGATTAAAGCTAAATTATTATTTTTTAAAGATTATAGTTGACCATAGCTAAAAACAAATGAAATTTCACATCATATATATATATATATATATATATATATATATATATATATATATATATATATATATATATATATATATATATATATATATATATAACTCGGATCCATGACTTGTGGCAAAGACACAAAAATATAGGCCACTAGTCTCTATTGCACTAATGGTAAATAAGAAAATCAATATAATGATGGCTAATGATACGCATTTCTTACCATTAAATCGTGGAATTACGGTGCAAATTTTGACGGACCTATTGATATAGAGGAACCAAAAACAAATTGGGACTACACGCGGTGACACCGTTTATAACACAAAATTAAATTTATGATTACCTTATAGACTAAAATAAGAACAATTTCCCTTATATTTAACATAAAATTTGGCTTTACGGCGTTTATAGTAAAGAGCTGAGCATACCAAATAACAAGCGCCACAGCCAGCTCCATTTTGGTACAGCCGCCCAGAGGCTGCGAAAACTTGACCACCGTTCACGCTTTTTCCATACTGTCCATACCCACAGGCTCCACCTGATCAATAAGATGTAACATACACCAAACGTTAGAACCGCATACAATATTATCCAACCTTAATCAAACAATGTTTGTTGAGCGGATACCAATAAAGGCGAAATCTAGTACCAGGTGACTAGGGGATTATAATGTTGGGTGAAGACTGATAGAGAATTTAAATGAAAATGTGGTAAGATATAAGGAAATAAAGTTGTGTATTCACTACTAGCAAGCTATAGCTTTTGACGGTAAGTGCTTGATCCAACAAGGTAGTATCAGAGCGAGGTCACGGGCTACTAGCTTGATTCTAGCTAACAATGTTGTTTTGGTCAATAATCAAAGAAAAGTATTTGTTGAGAGCATACTTGGATTTCCCATGCCGTCATCTGTGGTGAAATAGGTTGCCTTGGAAAGGTAGGTTTGGCTGTAACAATAGTTTGCAGCTGACAGAAGACAAAGAATCATGCAGAGAAGAGTACAACGTTGTTTAAGGGAAAACGCCATTTCTTGAACGTGTGTGTGAGAGAGAGAGAGAGAGAGAGAGAGAGAGAGAGAGAGAGAGAGAGAGAGAGAGAGAGGTGAAACTGAATGAAAGATTTGGTACATTTATAGTAAGGAGGGCAGACAACAGTCTTGGTGTCTTATTTCACGCCAAAGTATATGCAATTATGTATTGCCCCCCATTTATTAACGTTTAGCTTCTTCATCAATACTGTTACCTATTTTTTGTATTCTAATGTCAACAAATCTAGCTTATTCACAAATGAGGAAAATAGGTTATAGTCTAGTATAGCGGTTATTCAGTTGTTATACAGTGTTATGTGATTATGATTGTTAAATGAAACTATAATAAAATTAAAATAATACTTTAATATAATGTTGCATGCTATAATAAAACTAGTATGTGTAAAAAATGAAATTAAAAAAATAGCCCATTCACCAATAACGTATATTATCAAATGAAATTGTAGTATATATAATTAGAATGATATTTTAGTGTTGTTATAATGAAATTTTTGTGATTAGAAATGAGACTTAGCTAAAATGCAGTGCTAGCCATACAATAACATGAACCCGATGTGTAATTAAAATAATATTTTAACATTACTAGAATTACTATAATTATCCAAGAATGCGTGAATCTCTTATTGCGTATCTGCCGTATGCGTGAAGTCTGACGCCCTGTATGAATGGGAAATTTTTTTTTTTTTTTTTTTTTTTTGTAATATGTATTAGTAGTTCGCGGGCTAACCCACGACCCACCTGGGCCCGTGACGCAGGCGGTGCGGGCTAAAAAGCCCGCCTCCTGGCGGGTCAAATAATTAAGAACCCATCCCCTACTTATGGTGGGATGAGACGGGTCGACCCGGCGGGTAAAACTCGATTTTGACGGCTCTATATATAAGCAATAATTTGTTGAAAAAACAAAAAATAAATGAAGTAACTCAGGGAGACATTGTATATTTTTCCCTATATACAATGACGTGATTAAAGTTAAGATTAAATCATGATGGGTCCATCCAAAGTCTTCTTGTAGAAGAAAACGATTTTAATTATTACGGAAAAATGGTTTATTTAGTGGCTTAATTTTGTGTAGTAGAACGTAATAATTGAATCTCGTTGTGAAGTAAACTTGAAGAATAAAATTGTGCTGTATAATTAGAGTATTATCATGGCCTATCATGCTTCAGCAGCAATTATGAAAATCTTGATTCTGCAGTATTGTAACATCATCACAATCATTATCTTAAAACATACTATAATCTAAAAACATGGTTTCTGTGAATCTATGTTATGTTTCTAGTTTTTGTCAATATTTATAGTTTAATATTTTTGTACATCAAGTTTAAAATGTTGTATGTTGCATTTTAGACTAGTTTCATGTTAAAATTAATAAATTAAACAAACATTTATTGCTTATTTTATTATGGAGGCTAAAACAAATATCAACATAATCTAATTAATTCTACAGCATTTATTAGTCATTATATATTAATTTTATCACAAAAATTATTCACACACACATATATAAATGGTTCCTGTGCGGTTGAGGGTGCCATGTGCGATTGTGCAGTGAAAGGAGAACCATTGATTTTGCTTAAATCAACGTTTAGATTACCAAAATTAAATAAAAAACGTGGTGGTATTTTAGTAATTTTTTTACATTTAGGTCAAATGTAAGGTGCATGATTTTTGTGAGTAATGTGCGTGAGTTTGTGCTTAAGGTGCGTGAAATTTGTGCCTAAGGTGCGTGGGCTGTGTACTTAATGGTAGTAGTTGTTAAAACCTAAGGTGCGTGAGTTTTGTGCTTAAGGTGCGTGAGTTTTGTGTTTAAGCTGAGTGGGTTTGTGCTTAATGTAAGTAGTTGCTGAAACTTAGGTGCGTGATGAGTTTCCTTCTTAACGTGCGTTGTTTTCATCTTAAGATGCGTGATTTTTATGCTTAAGGTGCGTCAATTATGTAAAACTTAAAGCGAACCATTTTTAAAACTTTAGGTGCGTGATTTGTGTTCTTAAGGTGCTTTGTTATGTGCTTAAGGTGCGTGGTTGGTGTTCTTAAGGGGTTTTGTTTGTGTGCTTAATGTGCGTGTCCTGTGTACTTAAGTGCGTTAGTTTAATGCTTAATGTGCGTCCAACCGCATGGAAAGCTATTCCCGCATCTGATCATTTCCCTATATATATATATATATATATATATATATATATATATATATATATATATATATATATATATATATATATATATATATATATATATTGTTGAGATTAAACAAGAACAAGAAACAATAATAATGGCACAAAGGGTAAAGAAGACAAGATTTACGTGGTTCGGCAATATGCCTACATCCACGGGAGTGAAACAATACTCTTATTCATAGTGATGGTGATTGTGGTGACACAACCCATTAGGGATACAACCAATATATTTATAGACATCTAATCCCTGTACAATAGGTCTACCCGTTTCACTCCTACTTCTAGTATGAGACAAACTCTTATTCCTAATCCATATATGAGACAAACTCAACAATCTCCACCTTGGCGGATATGTTCTTTAGGAGAAAAAAGATAACTCAACAACTCCACCTTGACGAATATGCTCTTTAGGAGAACAAACTTATCTCACCATCTCCACCTTCACATACATGCCGTTTAGGAGAAAAGACTATCTCCACCTTGGCGAATATGCTCTTTAGGAGAAAAAGATAACTCAACAAATCTCCACTTGGCAAATATGTCCCTTAGGAGAAAAGACTTATCTCACCATCTCCACCTTCACAAATATGCCCTTTAGGAGAAAAACTTATCTCACATATACATACGGGTAGGAAAAACCAAGCTAATCCCAACTAGCCAGCCATATGCACCACGCAGCATCAAATGTTACCCAGTGCATGTACACGAACCGCTTCGTCCCAAGCCATTCGCCCTCAGCCGTCGACTTGTTATACCAGCCTCGACTCATGCTAACTGCTCGTTCAGCTGACCTCATGCATCTGGCCCATACCAGGTCCATGTCCCCTCCTGGTATCCACGCTGCCCCAACACAACAGCGCCCCTGCAAAGTCACACTAAACCCGTGTGCCTTGCCCAATGCTCCACTAACCAATAGTTGCCACTGGTTAGCAACACGCACCACGCAACATCAAACGTTCCTAGTGCATGTTCACGAACCGCTTCAGGCCGTCCATACCAGCCGTGACTCATGCCAAGCCCAGCCCATACCAGGTCCATGTCTCATGACAAGCCCAACCCTTACCAGCCGTGACTCATGTCAAACCCGACCCATACCAGGTCCGCGACCCCTCCTGGTATCCGCGCTGCCCAACACTATAGCGCCCCTCAACACTTTCTCATCTAGCATCTAGAAACATCCAACAAGTCCAAACAATGTTCAAACTTGTTCCTTGTAATTGCTAGAACATCACCTTCACTATAATAAGAGTCATCAGCATGTACCACATCCATAGCTTCCTGCTTCTTCAACTCCTCCCAATCAGTCTCTTCCAGATTAGCTGGCTTTTTCGCCCTCAAGGTTTTCAAAAGGCCCTGATAAGCCAACAAATCCTTTACCTTAGACCGCCATAACCCAAAATTCCCTATACCATCAAACTTTGATACCTCAAATTTTGTACTTGAACTGATCATCTCAACAGAGCTCTGATACCAATTTGTTGAGATTAAACAAGAACAAGAAACAATAATAATGGCAAAAGGGTAAAGAAGACAAGATTTACGTAGTTCGGCAATATGCCTACATCCCAACAGTGCTCTGCAAAGTCACACTAAACTCGTGTGCCTTGCCCAATGCTCCACTAACCAGTGGCAACTACTGGTTAGTGGAGCATTGGGCAAGGCACACGGGTTTAGTGTGACTTTGCAGGGGCGCTGTTCTGTTGGGGCAGCGTGGATACCAGGAGGGGACATGGACCTGGTATGGGCCAGATGCAGGAGGTCAGCTGAACGAGCAGTTAGCATGAGTCGAGGCTGGTATAACAAGTCGACGGCTGAGGGCGAATGGCTTGGGACAAAGCGGTTCGTGCACTGGGTAACATTTGATGCTGCGTGGTGCATATGGTTGGCTAGTTGGGATGAGCTTGGTAGTTCCTACCCGTATGTATATGTGAGATAAGTGTTTCTCCTACAGGGCATATTTGTTGAGATTAAACAAGAACAAGAAACAATAATAATGGCAAAAAGGGTAAAGAAGACAACATTTACGTGGTTCGGCAATATGTCTACATCCACAGGAGTGAAACAATACTCTTATTCATAGTGATGGTGATTGTGGTGACACAACCCATTAGGGATACAACAAATATATTTATAGGCATCTAATCCCTGTACAATAGGTCTACCCGTTTCACTCCTACTTCTAGTATGAGACAAACTCTTATTCCTGTGGTGTAGATTAAGTGAGTTTTTAAAAATTAATTGAGTATTTTGTAGGGGGTGCGGTTTTTTTTTAAGTTGTAAGGGTAGTTAAGTAATTGTTTTTTTTTATTTTAATTTGCCCATTTTATTCGGTGGGTGGTGGTGTCCTGGTCGTTTTGTCTCTCTCTCTCAAGATTGCTTGGTCCCCAATTGCTGCCCCCATTCCAACAGCGGTTCCCTCCCTGCATGCAGTTGATTGTCACCGTAATGGCCGGCGTTGGTGGTCGTGGACGGGCAAAGCGGACGGCGGCGAGTGGTGGCTCTCGGCGGTCGAAGCGTACGACGCGGTCTCCGGCGGCGAGTAGACCTGGTTAGTTTATTAAACCCTAGGTTTTTTTTCTGGCATTTGTGCGTGGTTTTACGTTTTGTGGGGGTGGGTCTCCGGCAGCAAGTAGACGTGGTGCATTTATTAAACCCTAGGGTTTTTTTTTCCCTTATCGTCCGGCCGTGTGTCTTTGTTGCAATTGTGCGTGGTTTTGCATTTTGTGGGGGTGGGTCGGTTTTCATTAGGCTGGAACCTGGGGGAATTTTGGTGTGCATGAATATGTACTGTGTTTGTTCTAAGTTTAGGTTAGTTGGTTTGTGGTTGCTC